CCAAACTCATTTAGGTTAGATTTTAAAACTCTTAAATTTGCACTAATCATACATGACAATCCTGATCATCCTGGACAATTCGTACAAATCATGCCTAAACTAATCAGGTGATTAGGAGAGTAATTAAGGTTAGATTGATCGATCATATCATCCGCGATGATCGTAGATTTGTGTTGCAAGATTTGAAAGAATAACCTTAGTCTTCTCCTAAATCTCCTAGACTTCCCGAACTATCTGCTAGACGATAATGTCTAATTTTGAACTAATCATACAGGAAAATTGAAGCATCGTCTTGGATTATCAATTATATTTCTACATCATTCTGATTTATCTCGCTAACATCCCAAACTATCTACTAGATGAAAAAGTCTGATTTTGAACTAATCGTACAAGTTGATGTTCACATCATCCTGAATGATCAGAATATACTTTATGTTCTAATCATACAAGAAACCCATATCATCCTGGCTGGAAGGGCTGATTTAAACTAATTATATAGGATGATCGATAAATAATCTTGGATAATCTTTGATGATAAGATAAAAATTAGGGCGCTTTTTAAGGCCTTCTATTTAAGCTGTCTTATTTGCTTATGATAATATCTTTTATTTTTGTCCGGACCTAAGAGAGCTTAGGGAAGGAGAAGGAGAACTTGGGAGAGAGAGAGAGAGAATCTTATGAGGGGGAGTTTGTGAGGTGTTCATAAAGGTTGATCCAAGCAAGGATTCAAGTCATCTTCTCCAATCATTGTCCTTCGATCCTGGTTGCTCTAGGGAGGTCTTCAATCAGCAATAAATAATAGTTCTCTATCTGCTTTAGGAAGAAACAAAAAGACTTGGTATTCTCTGCCTTCTTAAGGAGTAAGCATAAGGAGTTTAGGTTCTCTACCTCACCAGGGTTGGTGAAAAGATTTTGTAATGGATTCTCCGACTTACTATGGGAGCAAAAGGAGAGACAATATAACTTTAGTACAATAAGTGGAGGGGAGGCTATAGGGAGTGGATGTAGGTCAGGTTAACCAAACCACTATAAAAATCTGGTGTGATATTTCTATTTTTTTTCATGCACTTAAATTTCATATTATTTACTCTTTATTATTTGTGTGGTTGAAATATCATAATTCTATTTCTGTGAAATTGTTCTGCTTCTGCCTTGCGATAAAAGTAGTTTGTTTAAAAATTAAAAAAATTGAAAAATATTTTCCTTATTGTTTAAGTTAAATTTTTTAAAACACTAATTCACCCTCCTCTTGGTTAGCCTTAAGCTAGTTCATAAGGGCTTAATAACCCTGATGAACTTTCAAAATTATTTTAAAGGAGTTCCTGGTGTAAAATAAAGGTATATACTACTGAACCAGTAATGGGTCTAAAGGGGTTTGCTATTATAAGTACATCTACCTCCAAATAGCATCCTCACCATGCTAGTATATGAAAGTCCAACAAAGCAAAATCCTCTAATAAAAAGACTAAATTTAAGAAGCCAAAGGAGAAGAAAACTACCCAATGGACTTTTGACAATTTAGATGAGTATTACCAGATTGTAAAGAGGTCTATTAAGCTCACTGAATTTATGTCAGAGCATAAAACTGATGAAGTAGAGGAAGTTGATAAAGATCCACTTCTTGTGGAAACATATTGGGTCTTCTCTTAATATTAGATGTGCTGACAAAAGAATAATATAGTTAAGGTGAATTTTGAGTCCTGTATTATGGTGTTGCCAATGGGATATAGCTCAAAGGAAGATCTATATTTCCTTAATGAGGATGAATCAGAGCCCGACATACATCATAAATGGAGCTTGTAAAATTTGGGGGTGATTCTGAATCAATAGATAAATCTCCTAAGTCAATAATGGCTGATTTTGAAGAAGATTATTCTCTAGATCAATTTGAATTAGATGAAGTTGCCTAGGTGAAGTTGAGAAGTCGAAAGATAGTGACATCTCCATCGAAGAAGGGGATCTCTGATAAAGATAATGAAATGGAGATGGTGGTCAATAAAGATAATATTTCTAAAGACCCTAAAATGAAAGGTGCTTTAGATAAATGGATAGATTATAATATATTATCTCTCATGTAGTAAATCCTAGTCAAACTCAACATATACAACACTCTTCTAATATTTGAAGATCTTTGAGAAACTTTGATCCAAGCTCTAAAAAATCTCAAAAGATATGAAGCGTATTTTGCTAAGTGATTCATGACTGAGGCCCTTCAAGCTTAAAATGAGCTAGTCATCACTTACTAAAGATGATCTGATGCTTGGAATGGAAGATCATAACTTTCCTTTATATGTTAATATAGAGGGCATCAACATCATAATTAGTTGGATCCTAATTTTTTCTGGTTCTTGAATAAATCTCATAAGCCTAAAAGTGCTAAGATCATTGTTCCACAATATACATCACCTCAAGCAAGAGAAGTTCATAGTGCATGATTTCAATGAGGAGGGACAAAAAATCATGGTGTTATTTGTACTTCCCCTTACATCAGAGAACTTTATATGGAGGCTAAGTTTTAAGTGATTGACACAGATACTTCATTTAAGGAACTTCTAGGTCACCTCTTGCTACATGAATACATCATTGTCCTATCAACCCTAGACCAATGTATGAAGTACCTCAGGGATGGAGACGAGTTTAGGGTCTTCAGTGATATATAACCCTTTGTAGTACATGAAAAAAATATATATGAAGATGCAAAATACATTATTCCAAAAGAGCTAAAACAATCAGTTTCTCTTGAGGCTAAGGCATGAAATTCAAAAGATGTAAAATGACATCATAAGTATAATTAATGTTATATTTTATATGTTAAATTTTCTATTAACCCATGTTCTTTTAGTTATTTTACGTAGAAAAAATATTGGAAAGGCATGAAATTATACGTATCATATAATGCCGTGATGTCAGACATTATACCACCATGGCATAATCTTTTACACTGCTAGAGAGCCTAATATGGACATGATAATACCCAGTATCTACTTGACAACATCTCAACATCGGAGGAGTAAGCACTATAAAGCTCAGTCTTTGTCTGTATAGTGTTGTAGTGCTAATTTCCAGTTCCTCCAAGCCGATGGGAGTGCCACATGGATACTGAAGCAATCAACTATTAGTAGCATTATAGTGCTATAGTTTTAACCAACTAGGATATGATCTACTGCTAAAGCTATGTGTCGATTCATTAAATAGTAGATCTACATCAACAAACACCATAAAGGATAAAATTCTTCATCACTATAGAATTATTTCATTATATGGTCATCTTGGCTTAAGTATATAGAGCACTGTGGTGCTAGAGTCCTTTTTCTATATTTTTTATAAAAAATCCATTTGTAATGTTACTAAGGGAGTTCTGTCACTTAGTTAATTTTAGTCTTCACAGTGCTTGTCTATAATTTCCTTATGCATGATAATTAAGGGAATTTAGGGAGCACAAGATCCACTTCATAAGAGTGTTTGGTCATTATTTGTGAAATAAATTCTATAAGTTTAAGGAGATTATTGAACCCATCTAGTGATAACATTTGTACTATGATTTCTTTCTTTTATACAATTAATGATAATGAATTTGCTTCACTTTTTCTTCATGTCTAGCTAAATTATCTAGTTTTGGATTGATGGTGTAAATGGAATGTGGAGTACCAATGAATTCTCTTCTTCAATGGCTTAATTATATTTTTAATATACTAGGTCTTTATTTAATACACATAGTGGTTATATGTGTAGTAAATATCAGGTGTAATGTGTAGCCTAGGAATATGAAAGTAGGAACAACCAGGCATGTTGGATTGGTATGATGCAAACATAGGAAAATGGCTTGATATATACCAAATTTATAGAGATAAATGAAAATATGGGGGTTTTAATAATACATGCTTTACTTATTCTCCTAACATTTTCATATGATAATAGATTATGGGAGTTTAGAGTGGTGTTGAGGTTGAAAGATTTAATCTATCCTTTGTCTCTTTACATTTGACTGAGCATTCAATGATGTATAAGTTCTAAATAACATCAATATAAAGAGAATCATTAAAAAATAAATTATATTTACATTCCATCGATCCAAAACATTTTATCCAAATAATATTTCCTTAATTTTTTTTATTTTAAATTAAGTGATTGAATTTCACCAAAACTTATTTTTATTATGTAAAATAATTATTGTAATTTTTGTAGATAGTACTGGTATTAGAAAGTAAAAATTCTTCCTCTTGAGATCGATACTCTACTTTATCACTATGTTACTTGATTTGGCATTTATACTTGTGTCTATTAAGTGGGGTTTTTATAATTTTTATTTCAAATCAAACCTAAGAATATTTTAGGGATTGACCGAGCCCTAAATCATTTTCATAATTATTTAGATTACTCCACCCCCATCAAGTTTTTGGCATCATTGCTAGGAAAGTATTTGTTTTATTTATAATTATTCTAAAATATTAAATTAATTGTATAATTAGTCTTAATATATTTTTTATTATTTATTTTATTTTACTGATTGCATAATTATGATTGTATGCTTAGCCACAAAAAGGAACCATTGCTAGATTTTAATTCAAAAATTGAGAGAACCGTTTCCAAAATTAGAACTTTTTTTTTAAATGGATGAAACTATATAAGACTTAGACCATTCTAAACCTCTTAGGATTTTTGAAAAACCTATGATAAATAGAATTTATCAGAGCATAAATAAACCTGCCAACTAAGCTAATAACTTTAAATTAAAATATGAAATCATTCAGATGGTACAAAAATTTCAATTTGGGGGAACTCCCATTGAAGGTCATAACCTATATTTAGCAAACTTCCTAGAACTTTATGCAACATTTAAGTATAATGATATTAGTGATGATGCCATTAAACTTAGATTATTCTCATTTTATCTAAGAGATAAGATAAAAATTTGGTTAAATTCTTTACCGCTGATTACCACATGGAATAAGTTGGCCCACAAATTTCAGGAAAAGATTTTCCCACTTTCTAAGAATTCCAAACATAGAAATGATATTATTTATTTTACTCAATTAGAAGGAGAGTTTATTTATGAGATTTGGAAGAGATCCAAGGGGATGCTTAGAAAGTTCCCTCACCATGTCGTACTTGATTGGTTGATAATTCAAACTTTTTATAATGGATTGGTAAGATCCCTTACAGCTATAATTAATGCAGTATTGAAGGTTTTTAAAGTTAAATATTTTTTAGGAAGCGTATGAATTAATTGAGGAAATAACAATAAATAATTTCTAATGGTATGTTGATAGGAAAAATGCTAAGAGAGTGGTAGAAATCTATGAAAATGATTCTTTATCCATTTTGACTACATAAGTTACAACAATATCAAAGATGTTGTGAACTTTAAGCTTAAATTCTGATTCATCTTATAATTAGAAGATTAAAGCTCAATGGAAGAGAATGAAATCCAAGGGATTAAAAATATAAATTTAATTAGAAGACAAAATAATCCATTTTTAAATACATATAATCCAAGTTGGAGGAATCACTCCAATTTTAGTTGGTCAAATAATAATGATAAAAATTATTGGAATTCTAGTCAAAACAACCAAGGAGTAAATTATAATAATTAAAATGAAGCTAATAGTAATTCAAGACTAGCTTATCCTCTTGGATTTAATAAAGGAAATTAGTATAGAACTAGAAAGACACCACTAGAAGATGTGGTTATGTAATTAGGAACTCAATTACAAAATCAAGCTATTTCAATTAAAAACTTGGAAACTCATTTAGGTTAGCCTACAATTTTGTTGAGTAGTAGGCCCATAGGATCCTTACCTAGTCACACTGAAGTTAATCCTAAGGAGAAGGAAAGAAATAACAATGGGAACTAATTGAAGAGTAGCAATCATTCACCTTAGCCAAATAAAAGATCTGGGCAAGTCTGGAAGAAGACTAAACTTAGCATTGCTTAGGAGGCCGCCCAAGCTTAAATCTAGTCAGTTATCCAAGCTGGCTAAAGACTTAAAACTTAGCGTTTATAGGAGGCAACCCATATATGTATTATGCTAATTCCCATTATGTTATGAATGTTATGTAATGTTTAGTATTCAACATATATTTTATGCGTCTTTTATCATTCTTAAGAAAGCATGTGTTTGTAGTGTTTGTTTATATATTTTATTTACATATTAGCAAATTATCTTCATGCTTAAATTATTATTATACTCTACTTACTTTTATATTTTGATTATTTAATTAACCCTTATAAAAATGTTAATTACAAATTAAGTAAAATTAGGATAATAATAAAACCTAGATCCTAGTTTGAAATGAACTTTATTTATACTTTATATGTTGGAAAAATTAATACTTAACTCATTCAACCATTTGAGCAATTATCCTAATTTGATTTTAAAAGCTATAGCTTTATGAAATTAACTTTTAAAATTATAAGATGAATAATTAATATTAAAAATTTGATGCGAGTAGATTAAAATTTAAAATTTAAAATTATTGTTAACTTGAAGATGATTTGCAATCTCATCAAGTCCTTACATTAAAATCATTAATTTTATATGAAGATCTAAAGCAGAAGCTGATATTAAAAATTATTAATTATGTACTTCACAAAAGAAAAAGGAAAAGAACTATAAAATAATTTTGAAAGAAAAGAAAATGAAAAAAAAAAGAGTCAAATGAAAAAGATGAGTACATTCAAAAATTTATATTAGTGAAAACTTATGATTGAAAATACAATCTTATACATAAACTAAAAAGGATAAGATGGGAGAGCTAATAAAAGGGACGGTGAACTAGTGAAAGTACAGTTTTAACTACCGTAAAATCTAAACATTAAAACTCGATTATTCATTTCAATATTTTAAAGTTAATGATTAAGTCTATAACTTATAATTTCAATTTGGGATGTAACTAGAATGATGGGTTAGTTCAACTATTAGTATTTTGTTTAAACTAGAAGTATAGTCTTATTTATTTTCACTAACTCTATATAGCAATGTATTATCCTATATTTTTGTAATTTTAGATTTTTTGCTTTTTATTTTGGTTAATCACTTAATCCAAATTACAAAAGGCTTGTTAGTAGGATATAACGCTATAGTTGTAACCAACCAGTATATGATTTGTCAGCAAAGCGATGAGTCAATTTATTAAATAGTGGGTCCACATCAGCAAGTGCCGTATAGGAGAAAATTCTTTAACGTTACGATGTTAGTTCATTTTATGGTCACCACGGTATAAGTTTATTAAATAGTGGCCATATGTGTCATTAATATTAGGGGTCATGTGGAACCTAGGAATATGAAAGAAGGCACAAGCATATATTTTAGATTAGCATGATGTAAGCATAGGCATAACACTTAACATATACCTAATTTATAGAGTTGAATTATAATGACGGTGTTTTAATAGTACATGCTTTGCATAAACTTCTAAGATTTTCATAGGGTTACAAATTTTGAGAGTTTAAAGTGGCATTGAGGTTGGAAAGTTTAATCTATCCTTTGTTTCTTCATGCTCAACTAAGAGGTTAATGATGCTTATTCTCTGAATAGCATCAATATAAAAGAGAATTATTAAAAAAACATATTATATTTATATTCCATCAATCATAAATATTTTATCCAAATAGTGTTTCATTTTATTTTTCCATTTTAAATTTAGTGATTAAATCTCCACCAAAATTTATTTTTATTGAGTAGGATATATTTTGTAATTATCATAGATAGATTTCACTTTTTTAAGTAAGCATTCCTCCTCATGGGATCAATACTCTACACTATCACTATATTACTTCATTAACATGTATACTTGTATATATAAAGTGGGATTTTTATAATTTTTATATTAAAAAAATTTAAGTATTATTTAGGGATTGATATATCCTTAAATCATTTTCATAATTCTTTAGGTTACTCCACTACCCCTATCATAGCCTATATAAGAAGATGGGAATAAATAGGTGGGGAGAAAGAAGGAGACTCTAACTCTCCCTAAACTAATTATCATACCTAAACAAAATAGAGCTGTGCCCCACCTAGGGATTCACACTGAAGAAGATGTTGTCATTCATACTAAATTTAGGAAGTCTAGCCAATCTTCAGTTAAGGGGTTTAAGAGGGGGAATATTCATATTCTAAAAATGACTCTGAGTCTATCTTTGTGAGTAAGGTATGGTGTGTCTTCTTGAGAATAATATATAGCTTGTCCATCTCAGAGAACATATTTATGGTTAAGACTCTTCCTCCACAACTCTTTAATGAAATTTCCCCTCGAGAGGTATATAAAATTGAAGATCTCAAAACACTTTACGTACCTCCTCTAAGTAACAATACCAAACCAAGGAGTTTAATCTAGAAGTTTAGAGAGCGTGAAGAAGAACATTTTAACTGGCTTATCAAGCTCATGGATCTTGGATAAATAATTCCTATAAGTATGCCCTAATATTATTCCATAGATATTCAAAGAATGATGTGAAAATAAGGAGTTCATGCTGGTGTTACTAAATAATGAACTTATCTACTCTTCGATATAAGGCATCAAAGAAATCAATCTATATTACGAAGAAGATATATTCTTATAACAAGAGGCCTCAGATTCATAATATTAAAGTATCACTGAAAGGTGAATTATTGTGTAATCACATATGGGAAGTTGAATTTGATGATATTAACAAGGCAGATGATCCAACGAAATCAATCTTTTAGATGATCAACCCATATAAGCTAAACCTGCACAAAGAGCTCCTATGTAAATTCAATGATTACTTTCCTTAGACATATTTTGAAATACCCTACTTATCCCATAATATAACAATTCATAGTTTTTCCATTAAAGCAGATGTAATGCCAGTCAAACAAGCTCTAAGGAGAATGTGATTGGAGATAAAAGAATAGATGATTGCAGGGACAAAGAATCTTTTTGATGTGGGCTTCATTTTTGAAGAAAAAACATTTCAATTACATTGCCAACATTGTCCCTATTAGGAAGAAGAATGGGAAAATATGTATCTTTATTAATTTTAAGGACTTTAGAAGATGTGCCAATTTTTTACTCCCAATTTCAAAGCACTTAGTTGATAACATGTCTATCTATGTTATGTTCTCTTTTATGGATGGATCATCAGGATATAACCATATTAAGATAACACCTAAAGATTAGAAAAACACATTATTTAGAACACTCATTAGTATATTTTTCTACACATGCATGCTCATCAGTTTGAGGAATACATGTGCATCCTATCAGCGAGTGATGACTTGAATCTTTAACAAATTAATTTATTAAACAGTCAAATTCTACATAGATGATCTCATCGTCAAGAGCATGGACTACATGACCACCTAGTTGATTTGAGAATGGCATCTAAGAGGATAAGGAAGTTTGATTTGAACATGAATCCTCTCAAATGTGCTTTTACGATCTTAACAGGAAAATTTTTGGGGTATGTTGTCCGTCACCAACGAATTGAAATCAACCAAAAAATGATCAAGGAAGTTAAGGAGATGCTGCCTCCCAAGAACCTTTAAAAAACTTTGCTCATTACAAGAAAAACTAGATTTCATTTGATGATTCATATCATATATGTTCTGTAGTTGTCAGCCATTTTTAAAGCTGATGAAGAAAGGTACTTGTTTATATGGGATAGAGAGTGTCAGGAAGCCTTTGAATATTATCAAAAGGTACTTTCCACCTGTTCTTGCAGTGCCAATTATAGAGAAGCCTCTTATCATGTATACATCAGTATAAGAAGAGCCCCTCAGAGCTTTGCTGGCTTAACATAATGAAGAAGGCAAGGATAATGCACTCAACTACATCAATCGATGGTTGATTGGAGTAGAGATGTATTATTCTCCAATTGAGAAGCAATATATGGTGTTGATTTTCATAGTCTAGAAACTTTGCCACTATAAGCTTTCTTATAAAATCACATTGATATCAAAGATTGATTTGCTAAAATTCTTGATGATAAGACTATCAATGACTGTTTATTTAGCTAGTTGGGCAATGATAGTTCTATTGTTTGATATCACCTATGCCCCATAAAAAGAAGTAAAAGGGCATGTCTTGGCATATTTTCTTGATGCATATCCTATTCCTATAGATTCACCACTTAATGATGAC